TTTATCTATCCCAAATTGAATGGAATAGCGCGGTAAACTAATGAACAGTCTATCAACTTTTACTGTTTCGGACACGCCATTTTAAGTAACCGCTGTTCTTTTGTTTATATTGTATGGCGCGTTTGGTTAGTTTAACGCCACAAATGTTTCAATTTGAACATTGGTTTTGTGTGGCTTGTGTTAAATTAGTAACTATCCATATTATCCTCTTATGTACCCGACACTCTTTGTGCTGGGAATGGTGGGCTATAATAAGTTGAGAGTAAGAAGGGATTTTGCTCTAGCTACTTATATCATTAAATTATTAAGAGGGAAAGTATGCAACATCGGCGTCCTAAGCAGGTTAAGCATAAACGTGCCTGACTGCTATAGGGACAAAAGACACGCGCCACCTCTTCTCGTGGTGCCTTTTGCTAGAACGAACTTAATGGCAAAGGCACAATGGACGAGGACGGTCGAGGTCCTAAATGTTTTGCACAAAAAAGCAGATATTTTTTACAGTCCTTGGGGTGAACTCACAAATACATTAAAGTTTATTTTGATTATGAAGATAGTTTGTTTAATTCATATATATTTGTTCTATCATATATAATTATATTTTATTTTTAGATTTTGATTGGGATCCAACCTGTTATGACAGTATATATGTAAATAAATGTAAATAAATAAATGTAAATAAAAACTACAAGATGGCCCCCGTACCATATATTAACATATGCATATTGCCGAACATTCAAAGTAAGTTTTCAATAATCACTATTGTATTTTGTTATTGCTATCTGTGTATAGTTTAGGGAATGTTAGCAAAGCCAAATTAGGTTGATATTTGAATGTCAATACGACATTTAGAAGTAGGCTCTACTGCGCCATTTCATATGCCATTTTCTTGAACAATTTTTATCTATTGTATCGTTATGCCCTTATATGACTCAAACAAATCCAGCTCTTCCTATCTAACATATACAAATAAACATTAATTAAATTAATTAAGTAGTTTCGATGATTAATTATTAAATTTCTTTGTTTTCTGTTTATACTGAAGATCTTTAATAGTAATAATTGCACTAAATACTTTTTACATATTAGTTTGGCTGTTTTAATAGGTTTATATATAGGTATATGGCAAACACTTTGACGGTTTAAATCGAGTAATGATTAAGTTATTTATTTTTATTATTTTTAATTTAAGGTTATCTATAGACGACGTTTCGGCATTGTTTGTAGCAGTCCGGTTCACCGGTCACCGATTCGTTAAGGTCGTGGCTTTGATCTCATCTTCAACTTGCTGACTAGCTTATAAGATGCTAGAGACTTATTATCAGATCTATTACTATTGATGAGGCTGCTAGAGCCAGAGTGACCTAATACCAAAAACATGATTTTCAATAAACACGATAATAAAAATGCGCAATTGGCTTAGGCGAAAAACATTTTGTATTATTATTTGTGTAAGAAATATTTTAACAATTATTAGTCACTGTGCTCTTGTAGATCAACATTTTTAGCCTATAAAAATAATTCAAGACATAAACTTGCAGTTAGGCTACTCTGGCTCTAGCGGCCTCATTTATTCCTATCAAATTATGCTTGTTATTATTTACCAAGCAAATACGGTACGCATTTATTATAACAGTAGGCGCTATTATGGACTTCCAACATAAAAGGAAAATGTATAATGCTGATTCAAATTCGCAGCATTGATATGATGTCATATAGTTGCATATTAACGATAAACGATGCATCCCATTTGTAACTAGCAATGACCTACTGACACAAATAAGTTCGCGGGAGAGAAGTTTGTTTGTCTACTTTGACTATTTTTAAAAATTCAAGCATCCAGCAGATGTTGGAAAAGTTTCGAGAAGATGAAACACTTGTAACGGCTGGAAACGAAATATATTGCTTAACTTAATTTATTTTCACTACGGCTCGACGTTTCGGATGCTTTGCAGTAATGCCAAAGTATATGTAGGTATTTACGAAACTGGCTAAATCAAAAGTTCGTGTTTTAAACCGTTGATAATATTTTATTCTAATGTGTACTTCTCGCGTAGACTACAGATAATATTTATTTGGGTATCATTAAAATTAACACTGTACTACTCCTGGGATTCGAACCTTAATTACTTCACAGAGTAAACGCCATTCGGAAGGTGCATATCGAATTGTGTTTACTTAGTGAATTCTATTCCATGCAATGATATTGTTAATTTTTTTTTAAGCCGTAATTTAAAAATCGATTTTAAATTTAAAAAAAAACCCCGGGCAGGATTCGAGCCGGCATTAATAGCGTTCCGAACTGTTGAACCAATCGATTTTTAATTAATATAGTGCAATAACATGTGAAAAATATTGAAGCTTTTATTACGTCATCAAAATTATGTAATTGTGAGAACGAAGTGTAGGTTTTCTAATGCTTATAAGCACGTAATGTCCTCGGGTCCTTCAAATTTCCACAGTATTACGAGTTATGACTAAGTAGCGGCCAAATCCGTCTCATTTCGTGTTTAAAACTCGTCACACGACATGTGAGTCACACATTTCACAGTATATCACGGTACTTATTATTGTATCGTGAAATTAACAAACTTTTTATGATTATTTGACATAATCAAAAATTAACATCGTGAAAAACCGATATGTCACAGTCGGAGCAATCCCAGCCGTATAATCGAGCTAATTTTAAATGTTCATACAAAAGTGGAGGATTCTTGTTACATTATGTTAGATGCATTTTACTAAAAAACGGTTGATTCAGCAAGGATGATGGTCGCTTAAAAAAATCTTTAAAATATCTTATAAAATATTGCCTGTAGTTTAGGCGACTAATACACATTTAAATAATACACTTTAACGGTTTAAAACGCGATATATTAGTTAAACTTATTTGGAAATGATTTTTAACTTCGACCCGACGTTTCGGATGCTTTGCACGTCGGGCCGAAGTTAAAAATCATTTCCAAATAAGTTTAATTAATATATCGCGTTTTAAACCGTTAAAGTGTATTATTTAAATATGTACTACTCGCGTGAACTATAGACAGTATTTACTTTTTAACTTTTTAACAACTCGAAATGTATTGGGGAATATATTTACTATTGTATCCCCCCGTGACCACAGTTGTGGCAAATGCCGTACATCGGGCCGTAGTTAAACTAATTGAAAATTAAGTTTTATTTTAAAATGTATTTTCAATGTCTGTATAGCCATGCTTCTAGATAGAAAACCGTTCATCTTAAAAGTTGAAATACCCAGCTATAAAATATCCTAATTAAAAATATATTTAGAAAAAAGTTCTACTAACGTTTCGCGCTGCTCTAACCAATTGAGCTACCGTATTTAAATACACAACCGTATATAAAATATCTAATTGTATTTCTATCAATGGACAGTGATGCGTGCCCCGGACGGAATTTCAATGTGTCTACCACGAAGTTTACCAGTGGATTAACGAGACAATGTCCACTTAATGCTGACATTTTCTGCAATTATTGGCTTTGTAAAAAGAAACTGTGCAAAGAATCAGCTAATTATAACCTCGTATCTATATTTATCAACCGCTAAAACCCCGTTCAGGATAAGGGTTAGTGATACCAAGCGTCCGTTAATAGGGTTGTCCGAAATTATAAAATAAATCATTTTAATAAATCGACTTCTAGCGTCATTGTCGTGTTTATTTAATGTTATTTTTAGCCTTAACATTTGCCTACTGAGGTTGCAAGTTTCGGAAGAGTCGAGGATGACGGGGAGGAAACGGGAGTTTGATTGGTTAGCACGACAGCACGGAACGCTGTGGATGTCAGTTCAAATCTCGCCCGCGTAAACTTTTTTTAGCCTAATAATAATTAAAATTGAAAAAACAACCTAAACTAAATTCGTTTTCGCTAATCTTGTACTGCGTTGTACTGTAATGAGCCATTTATAAATAAAAAAGATGACACGGGTGGGATTTGAACCCACGACAAGAGCTTTTTTATTGTCGTCGAGTTAAGTTAGTAATTGAAGCGACCTGAATGTGCCGTTAAAAGCCTCTCAAAAGTTTGTGTAACTCTTGTTATGCTAGTATCGAAGTACTTAAGTATTAATTAAAAGATAACAGAGGTAAACAAAAGTACATTGTCAAAGTTTTTATCAATGCATTTCGCAGCGATGACAACCCTAACAACAATATTTACATTTCCCAGGAACATTAATTATTGTAATGAGTTTATTTTTCTCTCAGTTGATAGTTTAGTGGTATTTAGCGTGCACTTCTACTAAACACTAGTAAACAAAATGGGATACGGTGGTTGTGATGTGTTTTTGAGTCGTATTGAAAAGTTTCGGTGAGTCGTGAAGATTCCCGCGTTTTTTGCATTTAATTTTAACAGATTATACAAGGTCTATAATTTAGTTAGTGGCTCAACTTTTATCTCCCAGATACTCGTCTATAGTGCGCGGAATTTAAATCATTTACTAACAGTATCTGCAATTATTAAAATATTATTAGTATTTATATATTTAACATTAATTATAATCTATGGTGTCAATTTTGTGTCCGTTTCGTTTCACCTCGTTGGTCTAGTAATTAGTGCACCCGAACACGAGGTCCCGCATTCGAATTCTGCAATGTTACTTCCGAAGTTCGGAGTTTAAAGTTTTGAACATTACGCCTTTGCCTCGGTCCTTTGCACTGGTGCGGCGCGGTGGGTCTAGTCTCATAGAGCCCAACTGTGGGACACTAAAAGTTTGAAACGATCATCGAGCCATATATTGTTTTCATTTTAACAATAAAAGTAACTATTTAAGTATTATCTATTCTTTACTCGAGTGAATATGTACCATATTTAAAGTAAACGGCTTAAAAACGTGAAATATTCCAACTTTTATATGGATGCTTTACAGCAGTCTTGGTCACGGGGGGGCAGTAGTAAAATAAATTAAAAAAAACTTTTACTAATATATTAGACGTTATAAACCGTTAAAAGTATTTTATGTAAAAGTAGCTATATGATTCCAGGCTCCAAAGGCCGATATCCGTGGCTGGCGTGATGGAGCACGCGTTGCAGCACCGCGAGAGAGTCGGCGTGCAGGACTTCGTCCTCCTCGAAGACTTCCGCTCCGAAGCGGCGTTCATCGACAACTTGAGGAAGCGGTTCCATGAAAATATTATCTATGTGAGTTTCCAAATGAATAATTTTCCCCGTTGTTTTTCACATTTCCCGCTGTTTCTTTGCTTATATTAATCACAGCGCTTTATAGCCTATAGGCGATAAATACTCTAAACAACGCAAAAATATTTTTTAATTCGAACCAGTAGTTCCTGAGATTAGCGTGAGATTCAAACAAACAAACACACTTTTCAGCTTTATATGTTAGTATAGATTTAGTAGAGGTGGTCGTTTTGGTGGATTTAACGTCTTGAAACAGTTTCCTCTATAAGAAAGGAACCTCTTCCCAACAGTGGGATTATTAAACGTTTGCTACGTACCATATAAGTTTAGTTACAAGGAAAATATAACTACATGTTTACTTCCTCAATACATTATATTGGCGCCGCAAGTTATTTCAATGAATCATCTCTCAAGTAATCGTACATTTTATCCGACTGCGTACGAAAAATTGTTTTTCCTTACTCCATAAAAAAGACAATTTTCTGTATTATTCCTTACGTAATAATTAAAATATTTCATTGATGCCGGTTCATGTCCTGCCCGTGTCGTAATTTTTTTTCAATTTAAAATAGAATTTTATGCCACCAAGTGAAAAATTTAAAAGTTTTCAAAATTAAAATATATAAAAAACACTTTTAGAAACGCGTTGCATATTCTTATCGTGTAATGTTCAAAAGATGTATACGCTATACAGTTCAGTCAAATTGACTTAAAGAAAACCACACCATTGAGCCGGTTCGAGACTTGTGTTACATAATCTTTAATTTTTAATTATTTATGTACGTAAGCCTGTGCCCCATAAAAGACGATATCATGGCGGCCATCTTTAAAAAGCTATCCCTTTATATTTTTTCCATTTCCAGACATACATCGGTAACGTACTGATCTCTGTGAACCCGTACAAACCTCTTCCGATCTACACAGAAGAGAAAACCAAACTCTACTACAAGAAAGCTTTCTTCGAAGCGCCGCCGCACGTGTAAGTTGATATTATCTATGATCTATCATAACCTGTGACCGCAATCTGTCATGTCAAAATTAATGACAGCTAATAGATAAGTATGGTCTGTAGTGTACGCGAGTGTACACATTTGAATAAGGTTTAAAACGTGAAATATATTTAGAAGACATTCAAATTATAAAAATAAGTTAACGGTTTAAAATGCGAATAAACAATTTAAACCGTCAATATGTAGTCCACCTATTTTGATTACGGACATTCGGAAATTCACGGTCTGAAATCGAAACGTGATTATACTTCACGGCTTTATCATCTGTGGAAGGTGGCATGACCCGGATGGCATTTCGATATTCCTACCACCAATTTAAGATCCAGATTTCCAGACGAAGACCAACATTAAATTAACGAGCCCATTACAGTTCCATCAGAGCCACTAAACACACCACCAGCCATTTGGTGATTTAGAGAGCTGTTTTGCATACCGTACTGTTTTGATTTCAAAGGAAAATTACCGCTGAATTCTCGGTGTACCCACTTATATATTCATTATCATTTATTGAACACTACATTGGCTTCATCCTTGAACCGCATAAACAACACGCTATCTCAGATCGATAAACGGTTATCTCCGATAAGCCTAGGTGTCCCATTTGGCGGGATGGACGAGATTGACAAGCGGTCTTCGACTCTGCTGCTACTGAGACGGAACAAGTACACATTTAAATAAAACACTTTAACGGTTTAAAACGTGATATATTAGTTAGGTTAGAACTAATATATCGCGTTTTAAACCGTTAAAGTGTTTTATTTAAACTGTATTTTGTAAATGATAAAAATACGACATCCCGTTTGTCCTTGCGGGCTGTAGCAGACACATTCCTATGTCTGTTTCACTAGTCAAACTTTGACTGTTGGTCTAATGGTAGCAATGTATGGCTTATCAAGGGGTCGTGAATTCGATCCCCATCGCGTTTTTTATCAAACATGTTGGACTTAATCTGGAACTCGGGATATCAAATGTGGGATTTTTAGGAAATACGAAGTGGAATTCCTTACTAATATTATAAATCGAAAGTAACTCTGTCTGTCTTTACTTTTTCACCAAACTACCGTTTATAAATAAGGTGGTCTTACCCTGAGAAAGGACATAGGCTACTTTTATCACGAAAAGGGGGTCGTAAGGGTTTAAATGGGGGTGAAAGTTGTAGAAAGTGGTTTTAAAAATAAAAAAAAAAAAATTTTTTTTTTTGGTTTTTTGGGATAAGAAGTGGGGTTTGGGGTGGGCGTGGACGTGGGAGTGAATATAGGAATGAGAGTGGGAGTTAGAGTAGTAATGATGTAAGGGGAGAGTGTTGCGGCAAAGGAGCAGTTACTTGGTTTGATTGGCTGCCCTAAATGCGCCCTTACATAAATTAATAAACAGCCTCAATAATTAAAAATTCTACCCCAAGTCACTATTTATAGACGAAGTCACAGCTAGTTACAAATAAATTGATTTTACGTAGAGATAGTCAATACTTACACTTACTTACGTATCTTACAGCTATACAACTGTTTTATTGTCTGTACAGTTTTGTTATTTTTATTTGTTTGTTTTCAGATTTGCGATAGCTGATAACGCTTACCGGTCTCTCGTTTACGAGCACAGGGAACAATGTATCTTAATATCAGGTAAGTAACGATCTATATCAATCGAGTGTAGTTTGTTTTATATATGTCGCAATGTTACAAGAAACTGTAGATACAATTAGTTATGTTGTTTCGATCTGTAAGGCTTAAAGAAATCTTACTCCTAAATGAAGGGGTTTTACTCCAAAGTATTCAGCGTAGTTTGTTTGTTTGACCAAGAGTGATTATATTTTTTTGCTTTTATTTGGTCCGAATTTGTTAACCATTTACTATAAAAATACGGATACAAGGCCCATTTGTGTTGCAGATACATTGCGTCTAAATAGAAGTAGTAGAATAATGATACCAAATAACAATTCTAATCGTGTTTCTAACCGTTGTTCAAATTCAGGTGAATCCGGTTCAGGCAAGACGGAAGCCTCCAAAAAGGTCCTAGAATATATAGCGGCGAGAACGAACCACCTCCACAATGTGGAGACAGTCAAAGACAAACTCCTGCAAAGCAACCCGTTGCTCGAAGCCTTCGGGAACGCGAAGACGCACAGAAACGATAATTCCAGTCGCTTCGGCAAATACATGGACATACAATTCAACTATGAAGGCGCACCTGAGGGTGGACATATACTGAACTACCTCCTAGAGAAGTCCAGGGTTGTGAGCCAGATGTCTGGAGAGAGGAACTTCCATATCTTCTACCAGTTGCTGGCAGGGGCCGATCAAGGGTTGCTGCAGCATTTGAAGCTCGAGGGAAGACCGGAGATGTACAAGTACACGACTGATAATGTAAGTTAACTAACTATAATTTGTCTTACTATAGATAGAAATAAAATTGAAAATCTTTCCTATTAATTTATACAAAAGTTTTATATAATATATTATATATGAAGGAAGAGAACTTAACATGTTAATGTAATGAGGTGATAAATAATTATAAAATGTATTTAAATAAACCATTTTTAACGGTTTTAACGCGAAGCATATCAGTAAACTTACTTTTACAATTACAATCTAACGTTTCGACATCGTCAAATGCTATTAGTGGTCACGGGACAAATTATTAGTTCTTTGTAATTCCCGTTTTAAACTAATTTATATTGCTTTATTTCATTTTGTTAACCATGTTCGTACATATTAACAAGTAAAAAATATTAACCTATCACTGAAAAGTCATTGTCACAGCTTATGTGACGTCAACGTGTAGGGCAAAAGTGGATTACATTAGGATTATAATGACGGGCATATAATACGGTTTTCGATTTTCAGGTGATATTTCTAACAGTTTAATGGAGTTCTTAGTGTATTTATGTATCTCCAAACTAAATTCCATACTATGTATTAATGGGTTTGAAAACTTTAATATTTCCACATGTTATTGCACATGATGGCACTATATAAATTCAAAATCGTATATAGATTGAGATATTTTTACGTCACGAGCAGGGCTTAAGCAGGGCAAATGGTAAGGTTGAAATTAAAACAAGAAAATCATTTATTCATGTATATACCCAAAACATAAAAATTCAAAACTTTAAATTTACATTTATACCAGTTCCAATTAGGGCTTAGTTTTAATTTGCTATGTCTTAGTTTCAATCTTGCGCACTTAATCTGTAGTCTTCTTCCTTATTAGAGCAGGTCCCAGGTGTAGGAGCAGGAACGCTTTCAAGTCCTGCCCGTGTAAAATTGTTCGATCTTCAATCGATTTTTAATCTGCTAATGTCCCCTTCCGCAGTCTCCATCCATCCAGAAGCTGAACGACGCTGAACAATTCCGAACGGTATTGGAAGCGATGAAGGTTATCGAAATCTCCGAATCGGAGCAGAGGGAAATCTTCGAGATAGTGGCTAGCGTCCTCCATCTTGGCAACGTGAAGTTCGTGCAGAACGAAAAGGGATACGCGGAGATACTTCGCGACAATAACAGCATTCATGTTGCTGAGGTTAGTGAGTTGTATTTAGATACAATTTTTTGACGCATGTTGAACTCTGTTATTTGGATATTAAATTGGTGGTAGCAATATCGAAATTCCGTCCAGATCACGAACCAACTGTCCACACATGAAAAAGACGTCAAGTTTATTCTCGATTCAGTTTCTGGATTTCCATATGTCCAAAGCCAAAATAGGTTGGCAGCGTGGCAGCCAAAGGACATCTTGTTTAGATGTCCTATGGCTGGTAGTTTACCTACTGTCTAGTCAACCCCAACTGTCCTCTATCATAAAATAAATAAATTTCATATCTAAAGAGGTTGTGAGATTTAATGATGTAATTAATTTCACGAACGCTATTTTCGTCTCTAACAGTTTTTGCTAAAGTGTCTTTGAAATCGCGGTAAGTTATCCACCAGGCTTTCATGAATATAAAATTTCGGACATAGCACGATATTTGTAAACTATGACAGTGCTGTACTATTATCCTATACCTATATAATCAAGATATATAAATATATATATATCACCAATTATACCACTTCAGTCAAAGCTGAGATTGTATTGTTTAAAATATTAACTATTTATGCTCTCATTATACCTAAAATATACCAAGAAAAATTTTGTTATATCTGTCTGTGTGTTCATTCAGGTATGAACACACAATCTAGTCCGACAATCTTTAAGATAAAATCCAAAGTTTTATCAATAATAACATTTATAATAAACATCTCAGTTTGGTTACTGTAAACCTGATGATTTATATGATGATTTTGATTTGAAAGCACTAAACATTCTCAGTGTATCTTCCTTCTAGCTGCTCAAAGTAGACCTCACCAAACTTCGAGAGGCCCTCACCAGCAGGACTATAGATGCACGAGGCGACGTCGTGAACACGCCCTTAGACCTGGAACAAGCACAATATGCGAGAGATGCTCTGGCGAAGGCGATTTATGAAAAGCACTTCAGCTGGCTGGTTTCCAGACTCAATGCGTCTCTAGCCCCGAAAGACAAGGACCCTAGAGCGTCAGTAATGGGCATATTGGACATCTATGGCTTTGAGATCTTCCCAAAGAACAGGTATGATGTTCCATAGGTATTGTCTGTAGTTTAGGCGAGTAAATTAAATTAAACCCTTTCAACGGCTTCAAACGTGAAGCATATTTAATTTATTTTACCTATGACCTAACGTTTCGGATGTTTTGCAAGAGCCGTGGTCAGGGGGGGTTACATTTATGCATTTGATCAGAATATTGTTATCTACTATTCAAATATTATCTTGAAATTTCACTTAATTCTCTTCTGGGGTATGGTGAGACAAATTTTTGATACTGTTTTGCTGTTAGATTTATTAAATTGCAATGAGACTGCCAAAAAAATTTAAAAATTAGAAGTTTATGTCCTTGTAGTTTTGAGCAGTTCTGCATCAACTTCTGCAATGAGAAGCTGCAACAGCTGTTCATAGAGTTGACTCTAAAGCAAGAACAGGAGGAATATCTACGCGAAGGCATCGAGTGGGAGCCAGTGGACTATTTCAACAATATCGTCATCTGCGACCTCATTGAAGCCAGGCATCAAGGTTTGAATCTCTTAAAATTCCTGAAAAGTATATAAGAAATAAATAAATATTTGACTGTTGCATTCGAAATCCTAGTCGAAATCTAGTGTAACAATAGCTTCTGTCGGTTGGGCAGGGCACAGTCTGATCCACTACTTGCCTGTAAAAGAAGCGACCACTGATACAGAAATGTATGTGCCCAATGCACCACGCAGTGAAAGTGGGTTTTACTTTAACTACATTCAAGTCTATGTACATACTAAGTAGTCTTTAACTCCAGGTATTATTTCAATCCTCGATGACGAATGCTTGAGGCCAGGAGACGCTACAGATCTCAGTTTCTTGGAGAAGCTGTCACAGAAGCTAGATGGGCATGCGCACTTCAAGTCACATCGGAAGGTCGATGTCAAAACCCAGAAGCTCATGGGCAGAGACGTGAGTAAAATTGCAACAGCTTGAAGCCTTACAGCTATCTGCATTAATATTAAGTTTAATAATAAAGCCAATTTTACCACTGCGCAGGAGTTTTGCCTGGTCCACTACGCCGGAGAAGTGACGTACAACGTAAATACGTTTATTGAGAAGAACAACGACCTCCTTTTCCGTGATATGCAGAACCTCATGACGAGTTCCGGAAACAACACCGTTGGCTGCTGCTTTAAGGTACTTCCGAACCTTCTTTCATACTGTTCTAAGTAATGTCCAATACCCACCGCCTATTTAAGTTAAAACATCAAATGTGTTATACAGTAACCAGACCTCAGACTAAATACACATTATGCGCGAGAGTCGCGGGATTCAAGAGCAAACATTGTCTCAATCAGGGTTGCAAAAAGTCGGATGCAATATTGTATAAAACAGGCACAAAGAAATACGACGTTTTTTTATTGCAATTCAAATATGTTTTCAAAATCTTGAATCAGTTTTTTTTTGACATACAAAATCATTGAACTGTTCTAATGAATAGAATAAATTTACATGCCATTACTGTACTACTTTAATACTAGATAAGAGTAGTTAAGTTTTAAAATTTATTATATATTTAGGATCTAAACCTTTTGAGTAAGAAGAGGCCAGAAACCGCGATCACGCAGTTCAAAATCTCCCTGAACGAGTTAATCAAGATCCTCAGCAGCAAGGAGCCTTCCTACATTCGCTGCATCAAGCCCAACGACTTTAAGATGCCCAGTGAGTTACAGTTTCAAACTTATTTTACTCACTTGTTACAAAAAAAGTTATATCTGTGTTTATAGAAAAAAAATAGCTTAATTTAGTCATAGTCTAGTAGTAATTGTAATATGTGTATTATGGAAGGTTTTTTAATACATGAAAGTTAAGATGAAGATTTCGAAAAGATAAATAAAGAGTATTAAGTGTTCAACATTCTTGTGCACAATATCTTTTAAAAGGTCTCTCTATATTAAGCAATGTAATATGTATAATGTAAAAACGCAATAATATTTTTTACAGTGCAATTTGACGAAAAACTAGTATCTCATCAGGTGAAATATCTCGGTTTAATGGAAAACCTGCGCGTGCGCAGAGCAGGTTTTGCCTACAGAAGGACGTATGAAGCGTTCCTTGAAAGGTAACTTGTCTAATACAGATAGTCATCTAAATATAAGAATTAATAAATTATATAACACAAACAGACACAAATACTGTAAACACAATAATATTAACAATTTTTTAGATACAAGTGCTTGAGCAGCGACACTTGGCCAAATTACCGCGGCCAAGCGCGAGATGGTGTCCAGAAACTTGTAGAGGCCCTTCAGTACGAACAAGAGGAATACAGGATGGGCAAGTGAGTTCACAAAAAATTAAGTATTGTTTAGTTGATTTTGAGGTTTCATTCAAGAGTAACATGGGATCTTATAATTTAGACTTCGTTCTCTGTACAGTCGTCTAACTAGTTGATGATTTTCAATTCGCCTTTTTACATTTAAGTCGTTCGCTCGATCGCCATCAGATCCAAGATGTTTCTAACCAATTATATATTCTTTTGAAACATGAAAGACTTCGTATGAAAACCTCGTTTAAATGGGTGGCAGGAACGTCAACATTCCATACAGATCACGAACCACCGTCCACAGATGAAAAGCCGTGTAGTTCAATCGCGTTTCGGTGTCAGTCTGTAGATTTCTGAATGAAAGCCAACATAGGGCGTCCGCGTATCTTGCTGAGATATTATGTACCTTCAAGTGATCGGGTTCATTTGATGGTAACCTTGTCTGTACCCCTCTATCATCGCAAAAAAAAATATTACAACTTGGACCTATAAAAACAAAATGCATTTAATTGTACTTTTAATTTAAATTTAATTAATGTTTTGCAGCATTTAAAAATGCCGTAATAGCCGCTTTAGTAACCAATGTCGTATTGTTCAACAGCACGAAAGTCTTCATCCGTTTCCCGAAGACCTTATTCGAGACGGAAGACGCGTTCCAAATCAAGAAAAACGACATCGCGACCATCATCCAGAGCAGATGGAGGGGTCACTGGCAGAGGCGGGAGTACCTGAAGATGAGGCAATCGGCCATCATCATGCAGAAGTGGATCAGGCGCTTCCTGGCTCAGAAGCAGAAGGAGAGGAGACGAAAAGCTGCAGATGTCATCAGGGCATTTATAAGAGGTAGGAATATTTATAAAATATATATATACACTTTGAGATATATACTTTGAGATTAGCGACACTACAATTTAAGTCCCCTCAGGTTGCAGTGGAAATAAATAGAAAATAATATCTTTCACCTTTTAAACCGTTAAAAGTGTTTCATTGAATTGTTTCTTATTCCTCAACTGTCGTCTGATTTAGGTTTCATAACCCGCAACGGCCCAGAAACAATAGAAAATCGTCGTTTCCTCGGCATAGCGAAGGTCCATTGGCTCAAGCGTCTCTCCACTAGACTTCCCAAGAAAGTTCTAGATCTTTCATGGCCGCACTGTCCCGCGACTTGCCAGGAAGCGTCCAGGGAGCTGCACAGGCTGCACAGAGCACACTTAGCTAGGAAGTACCGTCTCGCGCTGACTCCAGCTGAGAAGAAGCAATTTGAACTAAAGGTGTTGGCTGAGAAGATGTTCAAGAGTAAGTTATGATAGAATTGGTAGCTGTAGCTGTGTCGGTGACTTCGTCCACGTAGAATGATTGTTTTAATTAAATATTTATCTTTATACATTTAAGCTGTCTCCTACATCGCGTTCCGTCGTTCTTGCAATTTAATCTTAAAAGATAATCATACAGTGTCGCGGACTTTTTTAGATAATTTAAAGAGGATTCATTCTTTCATTTATATTTTTGGGTATTTTGTTCTTGTAGTTGTTTTATAGCCTTCCTCGATAAATGCTCTCATCAACTTCAATCGATGTTTTAGGTAAGAAGAACAGCTACCCGAGCAGTATCTGCGACCGCTTCATGGAGGATAGACTGAACGAGGAGCATCGGGTCTTGCGGAACACGTTCATGGCGTCACCTTCTTGGCCCACTGGCGAACAACTTATCGTAAGATTTTAAAAGCTATTTTTTTAATAAAACATTTGTGTAAAGTGTTTTATTTAAATGTGTATGTACTACTCACCTCAACTATAGCTGTATTTTTTTTCACATGTTATTGTAAAGCATAAGACATTGAACCTTAATGTGCAATTATTAATGTTAAACTAACCTTGCGCAAGATGTGCATTACCAATAGATCGAAATAATTCGACGATGACGTGTAGCTCATGGTAGCTCAATTGGTTAGAGCAACCGCACGGAACACAGCGTTCCGTGCAGTGCAAGTCCTGCCCGTGTCGTAAATTATTTTTTTTTATCTAAAATCGATTTTTAATGTATCGTAAGATTCAAATTAAAATAGACTACATCTCTTCTAGCGGGCAAAGATATTGTTTCTGAGAAGCTATGTAACGGAAATATATCTTTTATGTCGCAAAATGATTACAATTTTAAGAGATTTTGTCAACTTTTCTTTGTAGTTTCCGCCAATGGCACACATGCCTTCCTATTCGAAATCTTTAAATATGTGTTTGTACTTTTAACCAGTTCAAAATTGTTTTATTTAAATTATTTCGTTATACAGTATTCGTGTGAAGCTATAAAATACGATCGTCGCGGCTACAAGCCTCGCGAACGGGCGCTGCTCGCGTCTGACAAGGCGCTGTACGTCTTGGACGCTGCCGGACGGAAGACATATAAGCTGAAGCACCGACTGCCTTTGGATAAGTTGAGGGTCATCGTCACCAATGAGACGGACGGGCTGGTTCTCATCAAAATCCCTCAGGAACTGAAAAAGGATAAGGTTAGTAGTGAAAAGGATGTGTTTTCAGTAATTCAAAACGGTGTAAACTGACACGTTCTGTTTGTCGCGGGTTTGAATCCCATTTATGTTAGGTTCAAAGCTTGGAAATACATAATTTTTGAGACAAATAAAAATATTTTGAAACTTTTATTAGTTAATTGAATAAACAATTTTTTCTTCTTGTAGTAACTTTGTTTTTTGTTCTTGTACATTGATAGTTAACAAAAATTTTAAAATTTTAAAGATCTGTGTTAAGCGCGAGACTCCATAAGTAAATGTAAATTGGAAAAAGTGCGATTTATTGATTATTCGCAGGGAGACCTTATAATTTCTGTATCGCACGTCATCGAAGCGCTGACGATCGTCACGGACTATACAAAGAAACCGGAAATCATCGAAATTGTCGATACGAGAACGTAAGTATCTGAATGTTTTGCTTTTCAAAAAAATTATACGCTTACAAAACAGCCATAAACATTTATTTTTTAATTTGTATTTAATAGCAAAAATATAAAATATAAGACAAAAAATATCTCATAACTCATGTGAAGCATATTATATTTTAATTACATTTTCATGTTTTTTAGGATTGCCCATGACCTGGTGAATGGCAAGCAGGGAGGAACTATAGAAGTGACCCACGGGCCACAGCCAGCCATACAACGCGCAAAGAGTGGAAATCTACTTGTTGTAAGTACTTACTCGTTGGAAAGAGAAAGATGTTTTTGTGATGTCTATAGAGAAATTACCAAATCTTTAAGACTAAAAGCATTGAGTTTTTTTTATTTTCAAATCTTTGTACATTATATATACCAATATACATTATTGTGTATACATTTTTACATTTTTACCCGTTTACAGGTCGCAGCCACACCCTAACAGCGAATTCTTAACTATACAAAGAACAGTGAGATTCAATAACATTGTAAATGTAATTATGCTAATAATTTATTTCTACGTAGTCCTAAGTAAAATGACGAATTATCGTGACTTAAATTACTGTATTTTATTTGAAATTACGTCTATACAAAGGTTTTACGCAAGGACAATTAAACACACTATATTTATTCAGATTAAAAATTTATATTATATAAGAAGCAAAGTAACCCTACAATTTACTTTGACGTAACCTTACCATGAAACTACTGTCAAATGTTACGTTATAAATTGGCCTGACTATAATAATTGATTTAGTCATTCATTAAACTTCCCCAAGTCTCGTTTTCACTCAGTAATATTGGGCCGCTAGTTTTTTACGTGCAAAGTGCTTTTATTAATCTACACAATAATGTATCTTACACCAATTTTTATAATAATTGTGAACATACCTAAAAGTTGTATCTTACCATGTATGCCCATCAAGGCATATAAGCTGAAAAATGGTGCCTTTTACTTAACTAAACTGCCAGTATTGTACAAAATGTGTGGCTGTGTACGCTCAGCGACTAAGCAGGCGTCTATGTGCCTTTTGAGATGGTAGTCATTTTTGTAATAAAATTATATGTATTAGTCGTGGTTTATTTACAAAAACATATTTTGTGACTTCCCCTTTTTATTAATTATGTAAAAAATTAACCAAAGTAGGTTTTAAGTGTTTACATAGTCTAGGATCGCTCAACATCTGAAGATGTGATCCACTCCCGAGCATATAGATTATAATTTGTTAATATAATGAACAATAGGTAAGGAAAATAAGAAGCGCCATAACTCCAATGTATTTATTTGTATTAAAAGTGTAATTACATTTATACAATATTACAAATCATTATTCGAAAAACTGAGGCTACACAAATATTAATAATATATTAAGGAACTTCTAATAACAAACTAATTATATATAATAGTAATAATTCTGTGATACGGCAAGCAGTCTACTATCTCTTTTTTTCATACTTCAAAGACATTTTCTATATTTTTCGATTTTATATTGCGCATTACAAGGGAAAAAACAATAATAAAATCATATTTCTTGTTTCTCGTTCGAGCTCCGCTCAAATTTTATTCAAGTCAAATTTACAGTATACATAATAAAACATACATTTTGTGACCTAAGCCAACTTTAATATAAATTACCTTAGACTAAACAATGGGTTTTACTGTTAATTCCCAACTTAGAGTATTAAAAAAAATGTCTTAAAATTGTTGATCGGCCGTAATTGGTTCTTGGCTTTTCACCGTAATGACTGGTGAACATCATTACATTCAATTATTGTCGATACAATATTAATTGAAAATAAATCGACCACTATTTCCAACAATATAAGCTCAGGAATCAAAAGTAAAACCCAACGTCTTGAAATTGTTCACCTATACAATCAACTAAAAATAAATGCAAAGCTTCCACTTTCCGAGCTCTCAATAACAATGTACAGGAATTGTATTCGATAAGGCTTCAAAACTATAGATCACAGACGAATTGTGATGTTATTTTCATAATCCTAGCTAAGATGCACACATACAACTTTACTGAATTAACACCAAAGGACCAAAATGTATGTTAACACATACAGATAAACTATCTGTATATGTGTTATCTTTAAAAAGCAAATTTAAGGAATAATTAAACCCCAATTGCCTTTGAACACAATATTATGGTCAAAATTTATAAAAGAAATAAGCAGTGTAAACAATATCATATTTATTAATGTTACATATGTGGACCTAATAATATATGTACATACAACATTTTGGTCCAGATTTGCGCTAGCACTAAGAACAAATACACTAAGAAATGGCAGTTTTGATGACAGTATGATGAATTATTTTTAACATTATGAATTAAAATCATTTGTTATAATAAAATTATAAATTGCTAAATAGATAGTTCCTTACTCAAATTAAATAAAAATATAGCTGTATTTCTATTAGGTGAAATGGTCAAATTTAACGAAAAAATATTATAATTTTATAAAAATTCATTCCAAGTTAACAGGTATACTATCGATGACCAAGACAAATAATACTTTTTTCAATAGTATCTTTCTAATAAACTTCCATTTTTTACTTCTTAGTGTTTTCTTCACGATAACTTAATTTTGTTACTAAAATGTTATGTACATTTTAGTAACAGACAATTTAGTCACAATAAGCTGGACTAAATTGTCCCCAAGCCAACTTTATTATAAACGTAGTAAAATTTATTATTTATTTTATCATCATTATATACAACAATTAAGACACATTGTCTTATACTCATTTCATTTTTAATAAATAACTTTAAAATTTACATTCTAAATTTTACATTTACTTCGTGTCTCGTCCCCTGGTTTTAGATTTTGTTTTAAATTCACCTGGAGAGGGGCATAAGCCGACTCCGCAGCTTTTTACTGATGTTTCAGTCACGCTGTTTGCTGTGGTGGAGATGATTTTAAAGTCAAGGAAGACTTTGTGCTGCTTGAATATCGAGATAGAAAAAAAATGATCGTTATGATGGGCATAGGTGTTCAATATGAACTTTAAGTTGTTTTATAAAATCTGCAATAAACTGAAAAGTAGAACAAAATTAATCATAGAGGTATTTCAAAGATTAGGTTTTAAAACTACCCTTACCTAACTAAAAAATGAGAGGGTAGCTTATTTTTATAGACTTGTGAAACATTCTCTACCTAACTTGAAGCCTTTTTGTCTGGCGCGAAAGTCCGATTATAAAGAATAAAAATAAATAAAATTGATTCTTGAACATTACCATGTTTTTAATATGCTTATCATTATAATTACAAAGTATCCTTCTCTGCTCATCTTGTCTTTACCCTGTACCAAGTAGTCACACTGGTCAGTTATAAAACAAGATGAAGCCAATAACTTCATTGGCCACTTTGTTTCAAACTTAAAAATTTCCATAAACATGATGTGGAAATAAAGATATTATTAAATAAAAAATGCCATGCCATTACTTCATACAATATCTTACCTCTTAACTTAGAATGACCCATATACATAATATTTTGAAATTTTTATTACATATTACAAGGGGCCTATCTTGCCGAATGTTTTGGATAGTTTATTTGCACATAGAACCGAAAATGTACATATTAATATTACACTTAAAATAAGATTGGAAGATACTCAAGTCAATAAATTTGAAGCTACAATATACATACATAAATTTACATATATATATACAATCCATCTAGGTAACAAGAGATATACTTGTTGCTTTGGTATCTCCCACTAAGGGTCCACAAACAGATTATATAATGGAACTGACACTTTAAATATATTTCTTTGCCTGTAAACCTTGTTTGCGGATAGCCCTTGCGATTACAATCTTCAGAGTATTCATCAAAATCCCTTTACCACCATTCTGTCTTTTTGTGCTCCCTAGCCTAACGCGGAGGCACTTATCATCTGGCAGTGACCAGCTTTTAGGCTTATCTTCATTTAACTTGGTGTTCTACATCCATCTATGTACCAACCTCCCCCCTCCCTTTCACTGCTGAGTACTAGAAATCATTACTGATTTGGATTCAATTTAGACACATTTGCACAGTTGTAAACTCCTGTTCGACTTTGAATCAAGGTTTCCTATTGGAATATAAATTGTGAACCTTCACAGTAGCCCGACATAAGTTAGTCAACTCAGTTGTGGAACAGCAGTCCATGTAAGCCCGTGGATTCAATCATGGGAATACTTATTCAAGTTAACACTGGCTCAATCCGACCCCACTAGACTAGATCCCGCGCACTGTCACTGAACACTATTGGTAATATCCGAAAAAGTAATACTCCAAATACTATTTCACTTGTCCAGTCTCCTGCGTCGGTTCGGACTTGAGGTCCGCTTTGTAGTCGCTCTTGTAGCTAGCGTCCGATTGGTTGGATGACTCGTTCTGCTTGAAATCTTTTTCGTCCGAGTTCTTCTGCTTGCCCTGGTCATCGCGTTGCTGTCGTCTCCGTTGCTTCGACCAGAGCTCGTGGCAGTCCTGCCACGTCGGTAGCTCCGGTGCGTGCATTCTAGAAAACAACATGAAATTAGTAAAACAACCTCAAAAGTTATATAGAGATTAATTTCTTTTGAGTGTTTTACTAAGACTAAAATGTATGCAATTAGATAAGCTATGAGATCAACAACAAAAAGAAAACTAAAGGATAAAAAATTAAACTGGTTATAGTAGCTATCATCACAGTAAAACTAAAAATGTTAATAGATAATACTAACTGTTCAGGTACAACATTCTTAAGCCACGCGCTTTTCAGCGCTTCCTCCGCAGTTATCCTCTTATCGGGATCCAACTCCAGCATTCTATCCAGAAGGTTGAGCGCCGCGGCGGGTAAACAAGCATACGTTTCCCGCACGCAGCGTTTGTGGAAACGTTTCGGGCGTAGCGTGTGCCAGAGTGGTAGATTCACCACATTTGGCCACACACCTGGAACTGGTGTGCCGCAAACTCGAGATATTGTCTCCAGTTGCATAATTTCCACGTTTCCCTGGAATTTTAATCCAACAATCAAAATGTAAACTAACTTTGTTTAATTTAAACTAGCTTTGATTAAATATTCAGCCCCTTGTGTGTATGAGAACATAGCCTAAAACTTTTTACATAATATATCACTGGAAAGAATATTTCAAAGCTCCCTTATAGTTCTCGAAATCAAGGAATTAAAAGCACCAGTTCAGCGTTAATTTCTTTATCATACCTGAAATAGAGGATGTTTCACGAACAACTCCCCCAATATACAGCCCATAGACCATACATCAACAGAAGGTCCATATCTCTCCTCCCCAAGCAATAACTCTGGTGGTCGGTACCAGAGTGTGATTACTTTATTAGTGTATGGCCTCTGCCTGTCTTCAGCAGACCATAGCCTGGCTAGACCAAAGTCGCCAAGTTTCACTTCACCTCTGAAATTAAAGTACATCATATATGTAACTGTGGTCTTTTGTATGATAGTCTAAAGTAGTTTAAGTTTTGACACACAAAAACCTAGTAAAGAAGACTTCACTTATACCAAATATCCTAAGAGCTACTCACTTATTATTCATTAATATATTACTACACTTGATATCCCGATGTAAAAAGTTTTTTCTATGACAGTACGCCAGACCGTCCAAGAGTTGTCTCATGATGGAAGCGTTATGTGACTCGGTGAAATCCACCATTTTCGACTCCAAAAGACCCATTAAGTCATGGTCCATATACTCAAAAACTAGGTAGAAGGAGCCTTTGTCCTGAAAAAGAAAATAGTATATACATTATATTTCATACATTGCTAACATATATGAATAATAGAATATCATATAAAGGCGACACTTGTTACAATTTGTTAAAACTTTACGGTTTAAAAGCTTAAATTAGTAAAACTTATTTACAATTATGTTTAACTGCCGGGACCACGGCTGTCAAGCAAAAAGGAGCCGAAGTTAAAAATCATTTACAATAATTTACAATAAATATCGCGTTTTAAACCGTTATAGCAATTTAATTAAAAACTACCTTTCTAAAGTCCAAAGCATCCTGTTTATCCGTGACAATCTCCCTCAAATTAACTATATTTTTATGATTCAACTGTCGCAGAATCTTTATTTCCCTCACGGCTGTTATAGGGAAGCCTTCCTTTTCATTCTCGAGCCGCACTTTCTTGAGAGCCACCAACTGGCCCGAGTTCTTATCTCTAGCTTTATACACTTGCCCATAAGTACCCTCACCGATTTGTGTAATGACCTGGAATGTTTATTCATAATAATTAATTGGTAATATCGCTAACAAAATTGAGGATTAGTACACTATTTGGGGGTGGACCAGACAAATATTAGCGCAGACGACCGCGGTACTTCATACAGAGGCTGGCTTCTTATTCTGATCGATGGATCAGTGAAATACAAGGGGATAAGATTCAATTACCTGAAATCCATCGACGCATTTCTCCCCCCAGTCTTTAGCGTGATGTGTATTCGTCACCACGGGCACCAATTTTGACCCACGCCGCTTCAATATTCTCGGCCTTTTTAATTTAGCAGCCGTCTATAAAGTTAGAAATGACTGCAATAAACTTTCACGAAATAAAATATCAACTTTTACTTTTCACTTTCTGCAAATTTACTTCGCTCGCGTATAATTTACGTGACTTACGGGTATATCCTTATTGTTCTTCCTTGTAAATACGTGCGAATATCTATCCGAGTGGGACACGGGTGGTGGCGTTGATCCTTCCATCTCGTCACCGCTTAACTCTTCAGAACCGGGTATCACTGAAATTATATAAATATTGTACAGCAAGCAGCCAATACATTTATATATTTTTTCAGTAAGTAAAGTAATTTATATAATTATCATGAACATTCACATCTGTACATAAATAAATGTGTAAAAATATATTACCAGGAGGCATCGGTAGATTCATGATGCCAGTTTTCTTAGGTTTTTCTGACTTCTTGACAGGACTAGGCGATGGCGTACGCAGAGGACTCTCATTGGCAAGCGTTTTGATATCGTCCACCTGAATATCAATACTCATTGTTAAATAGTCGCAATGAAAATAATATCCTAAAAAGAAATAAAATGAATCCTACAAAATAAAAGTTATTTTTTTTTATTTTGCAATATTTTACACACTAGTGAATGAATATTTTCTTCATACCTGTATGTTTGGTGGCATGGGTAACTTTGTTAGACTCTTAGGTTTGGGAGGAGCTGGCTGCTGGCTATTTAAGACCACACTCTCCACTATACTGGGTTTCACCATCATAGGAGGAGTTGATGTGTTTGTCTGAAAAGAAGTGGTTGATATCTAAAATTTACAGAGAGTATGGTAGAGACAAAGTGTCACTTGACTACCATGGCTTCAAGCCAGTTGCGATTAAAGGACCTCCGATATTAATAAATTACATCATAATTTATCTCAATATTTTGTGGTTTTAAGGGTATAAGAGTAAAAACTCGCAAAGTAAACTAAACTAAGACTGCCATACCTCAGATCGATTACTCTCTGCCTCCCCATTCGCAGTTGGTTTATCACCAGGTCCATCCGGCAACGGAGGATCAATTGGTGGATGAGGAGGTGATGGGGGTTGTGGTAATGGCGGTTGACCCTCAACAGCTTTTTCGGGAGTCGCTTCGTTCCCTTGAGGCATTGGAATGTCGACCACGTCCTGACCTTTAGGATTCGAATCGCCATTTTCTTTTGACGCCTGTAAGGAAAAAAAATAATGTCATTGAATCAAAATTATTTTGAACATAGATATACGTAATAATTTAATTCTATCAAGTTGAGTGTTTTGTTTAGGTACATATTTTATATAAGGCCAATTGCGCAGAAGCGATACCTGTCAATAATCAGGTATTGTTATTTTAAGCCGCACAGTACATACCTGCGTGAGACTATCAGCCGTGGCATTGGAAAGCTCGTCTATAGTAAGGATATCCGGGTTATTAATGGATGCCGTACTTGACACTCCACCTTGGGACTCTTCCTCCTTTTGGTTTAGGATCTCTTGAAGTTTCTAGAAATCAAGCCATTGATCAGTACATTATTTCTCCATACATAGTTTATAAGAGCAGTTAATAATGAAGTTAGCTCGTTATCATACCTTTGCCCTCTTGTGTTTGTCCTTGACAAGTTCAGCAAATAGACTTGTATCACTAATTTTCTCCTTGAGGTCTATCCTGCGTTGGAGGACTGTTGGCGGACTTGGGGAGTCGTGTCTACTTCTGTTCCATACGATAAAAATTAAAATAGATTAATTCTTTTCTTTTTTATATGTAGAAGGCGCTTCACTCGCATTTGAGAAAATATCAGTCTCAAGAAGGATAAGAATCAAGTTTCAAACACTTATTGCTATGATAAAATGGTGTTTCAATTACTAATTGTTCTTCGCCTCTTTAACTTCATTGATAAGGGTTATGTACATACCTGTGCCTATCTCTACTCGAGTCCTTGTGCCTCGGTCGATGTCGCGGAGGTGAAGACGAGCGGCGTCGGCTGCGCGACACAGATCGCCGACGTTTCAGCGAACTCCTACTATTCGACCTGGCGTAACATAATATGGGTTTACGTTGCGAAGTTATGTTTCGAGGACAGAATGATTTTTATGATGCAAGAGAATAGAAAGTTTTTGAACTGCATTTGTAATGGTTAGTAAAACACTTCAGTTTGTAAGAGACAAAGTAAAACGCAATTTCGTACGCAAAAAGCAAAAACTTGGGCTTGTTTATTTGACTCGGCAGGAGTTGAAATATTCCTTATGTTGGACCCGGTGGGGAACAAACCACGACCATACATTGAAACTACTCGTTTGACAAGCCTGTCAGCCTGATACTAATACAATTGTAACCTAAGACAATTCCTAAAGAGCATATATTAGCATATTGTCAGTTCACCTGTGGGGTAACCGGTGCTCCCTGTGCCGCTCCCTTTCGCGACTCCGGCGCCGGTGCGGACTCCGCCTTCGATGCCGACGCGGGCTGTAGTCGCGAGCGCGCGAATCGTGCGCCGGTGAATCTATAATGTGATAACAAGAATAAATTGTATTTTCAAAGTCTAGCTATCCTACATGACGTTGCTTTTGTTTTATTTGATACTAAAACATCCATCATATATTCTGTAATTTATTTGCAATATAATATATAGCTTTGATATACGAAATCGATATTTTTAGTAGGATCGCTAGTTCCCCGGATATTATTAATTCTCACCCAAAATGACCATCACATCGCTCATCCTATGCGGCTCGTGCCAGTAGTCCCTCCGACTCCTATCATAGTCGTCATTGTCAGAATCGATCGTAACGGTCTCGTGATAAGGAATGGATGGCGTGTGAGGTGTTGCCGATTTCTGACGTCGCCTACTGCTCGTGCTGCTGTAAGAATCGTCATATTATATAAGGAAAAAAAAATACGAAACAACATATGGAAAAGTTTTTTTTTAATTACAACGATGTTTGCATGGCAACTTATATACTACCATTGAGCATTGACATACTACAAAATTAAAATGTGAATATTACAAGCAATATCCTGAAGTATAAAAGATAAAAACAATAAAAAATTGTATGTTATTTCGCAATTTTACTGAAGTTTATAATCCTCAGTAAATTAGTTACTAAATCCAGAACAACAGCTTACTATACAAACATTGTTATGCAACTTCGAATAACAATAGGCAATAGTTAACACAAATTGTATAATTTATTTTATAGAAATATTATCTTAGTAGTCCTTAAAATATTTAATTCAGTTGCGTAGCAACGAGGATAATTGATTTATTTAAGGGGTTCCAATAAAGCTATAGACTAACAGTTAAACTTAACAGTTTAAAACGCGAAATATATTAGTTAACTTATTTACTATTTATTTTACTATTGCCCGACGCTTAGCAGGTCACAGGGGACGCATATATACATTTTCGTTTTAAACCGTTTAACTATTTTATTTAATTGTGTACTAGTCCAATATCCAATACCATCTATTAGACCCGTCATATTGAAGTACGGAGGGGAGAAGTAACATATAGTTTTGTAATACATATACAAATAAAACAAGAAAATTCCTTTAGCGACCTCCAAGCCCCATGTCAACATAATTTGCAAGGTCAATGAACCTGAACATAGCCGACTCAGGCGCATGGTTGTCGAATACACGATACGCTATCGCATAGGTTCTTAATATCCAAATAATAAGCAATACAAATAACATTAATAAAAAAATGTATGATCAATAAATGCCAGGTAGGCTAAAAAGAAAAAAAAAGTAGAACAAAATATTTCTTTACTGGATCATTGCAAACGTCAAATGTATTGTTTTTGTCTGGATTGCTTAAAAAACTATTTGAGCTTGTATTATTAGCCTTATACAATAACTTAGTTAAAATTAGGCTTTTAGTTACTTTTATTTATATTATTTAAATGCATTTGAAAAAAAAAGAAAGCTTACCATAAGTCAATACTGTTAGCATGAAAAAACATTTCTAATTTAAAATGCCTTATCTACCCAATATCTAAAAAGTCTCTAATTAAAATGTTGATAGCATCAATAAAAGCTATAATTTTACTTCATTTTACATATACTGCCTCAGTACATAGTAGCAAAAAATGTAATATAATTTAGTTTTGCATGCAATAATTTCTATGTGTAACTTTCATTAAACCTATATAATATATTTTTTGGCACCCTAATTTATAGAATTTTCTAATGTTTGTATTTTCTATTTCAGAATGACTTCCAATAGAAAATACAAACTTTGCAATTATATGGCCATATTTAATCAAGTAATTAACTAATTAGTGTAATTACTTTTACCAGCATTAAGAAAACACCAACTTTTAATACGAGTGGATGAAACAATGAGTTTTAAAGATGCATAACTTTTGTTAAAAGTTTATGAAATGACAAAAAAGAAATTAAAATTTCTTTCTTACCTAATAATGGGAGATCTGTCTCGATGTGGGGAATACGGCAGCATAGTGTGTATTGGCTCATGGTGGTTGATTCTATGCCTCGGAGAGGCCATTCTCTCCCTAGCTATTGGCGGTGTACTCGGTGAAACAGGAGAACAGGAACCATTGCGGAGAGGGGACGAAGGCTTCTCCCATTCACTAATAGGCACTTGGGTATATCTCTTTGGACCTGCTGGAGGTGGCACTTCAGCCAACATGTCATCTGGAGACAAGCTCTCAAAGCTTGCAGACCTGGAGCGGTGCTTAGACTTCTTTTTCTTCTTCTTTTTATCCTTCTTTTTTTTACTTTTCTTCTTGTAATCTTCATACCCCAAATCGTACTCTGGCTCGCGTTTACTTCTAGCTACCGATACAGGATCACGTATGAGAGGGTATTCGTCCCTGCGACTAGTCGTTGTCACCGATATTTTGTTGTCCAAAAACGTTCGGACGGAATGCGACTTTCTTGTCCTATCTAGATCGTCGGCTATATGCCTCCCGATTGAGCTAGCCTCGCTCTCGATTTCGCCAGCCTCGGGGGCCGAAAGATCCTCCGAACTAACATCAGAGTACTCGACAAGGGGCTTAACTGAATTACTAGTGGCATAAGACTGTTCATGTGTACCGCTTGTGCTGCCTTTACGTTTCTTGTGTGAGTGCTTCTTATGTTTCTCCTTGTGGTGCTTACTGTGACGCTTCTCGGCCCGCTCCATGATGGGTGGTGGCGGTTCCAGCATCAACCACTTCTATTTGCATTCACTGAAATGGATAAAAATCTTATATGAAGACATCTTAGACATAGGCAGGTCTCAAACCACTCAATTTTTAATCTTGGACAAGAAAATATTTGATGAGCAGGTACTTAGGGGCTTTACATTGAAAGTTGTAAGCAAGTAAAATAACAAAACACATTTTTAGTAACTACACTACATGAATACTAGCCAAGTACCCTTTGGAACACCAACAAGTCCTGTATAAAAAAAAAACTGATAAAAATAAAAACTGCTTGCAAAACTTACAAAATTAATAAATAATGCTTTTTAATCACTTTCTATATGTAAAATAAATAAAAATAAAGAAGCCTTTAAAAAATATATACCGCAAGTACGTGCAATAAATATATTGAAGTTACGTATGCAAAAATAGATAACAATACCAGCAATTAAATATAACATTAAGCCAATTTAAATAAATATATGAAATGTAGGTAAACAAAAAGGACTTACCTCAATAATTAACGGACATGGGTGCAGCGGAAGCACAAATTTTATTTTTGCGAATTACTAGTTCTAAATTGGGTTAGACAAGTTTCAGTTTTAGTCATTCGACAGTGTCAAATAATATGTAATTCTAGTTATTTAAGGCTTTGGAAGCTTTATTTTGCTAATCATAATCATAAAGAGCGCATAATTCATGTAATAACATCGGATTAGTTCTCTACAAAATCAAGGATGTCGATTGCTCGTCAGCCATTTGCTTTTCATTTTTCATTTTAATTTTCATCTTATTTTGACTTTTGTAGTGTTGTCTACTTGTCAGAACGAGCTCGATGTCGTTTAATTTATAACCGATTACTGTTACTAATCGTCTAATCGATTTTAAAAAAGCTATAAATTTAGAATGATATATAAATATAGTTCAATATAATTTATAATGTACATAACGTATTAACCATAAGGATCTATGAACGTCAAGCAAAATAAACTGCTCGATTATGTATTTAAAAGTAGCATTACGTTGACCAAATGTACAGCACTATTCCAATGACAAAACATATGACATGACATCCATGATAATAGGAAAATAAGAAATATATATTTTATTTTATAATTAAAGCACACATCGCTAAGAATTATAAACACATAAACAACTATAGTAAAAATTACACCTATAAAATATGCAATTGAAAATCAATATATTTTAAATTATTTTTTATGATACATAGGTTTTCATTATTATAATCTGTAGGCATATGCGAAATTGTTGTAACGTCTGTGATAGCGTGCGATTTTGCGTCCTTCATACGAGAGCATAGCATTATTTTTTTGCAGAAAAATCGAAGTAGAGATCTCAATATTTCTTAATTTTTACACAAAATATATTTGTTGATCTATATTTCTTAAACTCAAAGCGTTCGTGTAGTGAAGCATTTAATAAATAACGCGTTCTCACAGATATATTAATTGTGGTCAGAGCTTGATCGTGAATATGTGTAGATTCCCAATATGGGAAAGAGATTTGAAATATTTTAGTGTTATAGTTTTTTATTAATCGCTATACACGTATCGGTTTGGTATTCGGTGTATTTGGCGCATATCTAGATGTGAAATCTATGAAAACTATGGTTATGATTGTATTATTTAATGAGAATACTGTGGTCGGCGTGCTAACACCATAGCAAATTCGAAAATATGTAAATAAACATGAACGATATAGATGTGAAAATAGTGGACTCACCGAAGGACCGGTTGGTGGATTCTGTCGAGTCGCCCTTGGCGGAAAACTCCGGTGAAAATGAAGTTGATCCGTTGTGCATTGACGAAGAAATGAACTCCGCTAAGGGGCCAGCGGTGGCGGTTAATAACGCCGATATAGAGAAAGGCGCGGGGAACTGTGATGATAATGCCAAAGAAGAGAACTTAGCTGAAAGTGAGCAGAAGGAGTCTTATGTAGAAGTTAAAACAGAAGAAACAAAAGGTCTCTCATCTGTAAAATATTTTTGAAAATCATCAAAATTTTAACCTTAATTCAATATAGTGGTCTAAAGAACAAAGTTTGATTTACTTGTCATTAGATTGTATGTAAATATAAATCAATAGTAAATGATTTCAAAATGACTGTTACCTCCCAGAATGCTAGAAGTTGACAAGAACAAGGCGTATGTTTTTAATTCTAATTAAAATCTCATGTGTTCAACACAAACAAATAATCATGAATAACCAGAATATAAACATAGTGTCTTTTGCCTCATGCAATGCAAGTATTAACAAATATTAACCACCCAATGTCCATCACCAGTTTTCCGGTGATTCAACATAACATCAATCAAACCTGAAATTTCTTTTTAATGCATTGCTGCTTAACACATTTTACCATGTGCGATGTGGTGAATACTTGTAACATAATTAACATTAAACAAAGTTAATCCTATTTTTTCAGCAGAAACTCCAGAAGCAGAATCAAATTGTACGAGTGATATTAAAGAAGATGGATCAAAAACGCCTGACCTGGAATTTCAAAGTGAAGCTACAGATGGAGAGGTTAAGATAGATAATAAACCACTTGTAGAAGAGAAACAGAAAGAAATAGTGGAAAAAGAGATAGAAAGGGATGTGGAGATGCTAGAGGCGCCTATTGATAAAACAGATAAGGAGTCAAAGAGCAACTTGTCTATAAATGGAGATATACTGAAGGTGAGGTTTGGACTGTCATCTCAATTGCTGAATGATTACTTTTACCAGTAATTTCATTGTCTGCAATGAAATGCATGTAGAGCATAAAAACTTTTGGTTGGTATCTAATGCTTTTGTTGATTCTTTTTTGTTCCGGTTTATCCACCACTATATACACAAACATACTATTCTTATAAATAGGTGATTAGTGAGTGGGATCTCTGTGTACCTCACTATTTTTTATTGTAAAAGCTATTAGTTCTTTTTTAATTACAACATATATGAGATGTTACACATTAAAACATTTTAATCGACTTGTGATTATAGATTATATATAACAAAGTCCATTCTTTCTTCTTTTCCTTTTATAAATGCCACATTTCTTTTTCTAATTATGAAAATATCAACAGGAGGAACCAGTTAAACGTAGAGCAAGCGAAGACGTCGACACCGAGTCGCCACTAAAGAAACTGTGCCAAGAAGTTGAGAAGACCTTCCCACAACACGATATTATGATAAATGACTACATCCAAACGGCTACTAAAAACAATGTAGATGAAATACAAAGGCACACAGAGCAGCTACTATCTGAAATTCAGACGCTAAGAGAACTAGCACAGAAAAAGGAACACGAGTGGAACAACATCCTCCACTTGAAGAAAGTAAAGGAAGAGATATTATTACGACTGTTGAGGAGAAAACAAGTGTTATCCTTCGAGAAGGCAGCGGACGTGAACGGATCAGAACGATGCGATCCCTTTGACTACCTGAACCAAGCAAAGAATCTTGCGATAGATAAGAGCGACGAAATCTCCGGATTGTCTTTGAAACCTCCTGGACCCGCCAACCCCATGCTCCAACCCCCAGTTATGCCTGTGACAACGCATTTCAACCTGATGTCTGGTCTGCCGCCGCCCTATGATAAGACAGCCCACATGCAGCCCATGTCCAAGCCGATGTTTCCCCAAGGGCTGATGATGCCGGGACCGTTGCCAGGCTTCCCTAGGGATATGAATGGGCAGCTGCCGACCAGCTATGGCATGCCGATGGGACGCCAAGGACCGATAAAGGATGTAAAGTCCATAATAGCGGATTATAGGCAGCGGAACCCAGACATCGCGCCCCGTAGAGGCAGGCGGATGAAGTCGATAGTGAATCCTAATATTATGAGCCCGAGACCGATCGCCCCAAAAATGGACGCCATTAACAATATGGGCAACTTCAATATGCTTTTCAATAACTTGGATTCGGTGAGTTCTGTCAACAGTATTGCGAAATTGACGTGATTTTTACATGTGTCCGTTTGTAAATTTAGTTCATAATGGGGCATGTGTTGAACATTCATCTGTGTCCGTTTTACCCATAATTTTAATACCAAGCAAGAGCCAAACTACTGTACCTTACCCGACCGTAACAATTATCGTTTCCCCCAAAATTCGAAACCAGGACCTCAAACACGTTTAAGTATTTAGCTGTAGAGGTGGTCCATATAGGTTTATAGAATTTAAATGAAGATATAGTAATAGTAACTAAGCTCATCCACATAGACGATTATATCAAAGTTCGAAATATAGGCCTCCAGTTTAGGCGACATTTGCGACCTTCGTTGAGTCAGTTGAATTCATTACATCCTTGACCCCAATCCCGGTGTTGAGGCGCGGTACTTGTCATTTATTATTCCTAAATGCGGTATTTGACATTCAATGAGTACTCGACAGCAGTTATATAGACTGCGAAATATTTCATCGCTGACTGCGCTCTTAACTGCTGCAAAAAAAGGGATTTGTGTTTTTTCTAACGCTTTCACATTCATACCACGGCATGCCCTTGAAAGAACGATCTAAATTTCGTGTTTCGTATTCTAGTTTAAAAGAAAACACATTTAAAAGTTTCGGCGCGAAAAAGTAACAAACATCCAAACATCCATGCCTCTTCAAACTTTATATAAACAATTTTTTTCTAGTAGGGCACAAATTATTGATTAAAAGTACCCGGATTACACAAACTGATTAAACTCTGCAGAATCAAAAGGCGATGCTGGAACGTCTTCAGCAGATGCAAGCTGGCGGTATGCCCAATGGACTATCCTTCAAGGACGTCCTGGTGCAGTTCGCGAATATGCAACAGCCGGGTATGATGCCCAACCGGCCTATGGATTTGCCTCGGCCAGAGCACATACGACCGGAGCGGAGACGGCCAGAAAGAAACGAGGAGGTCCATAAGCAGGTGTGTAGTGACTTAAAGATAGAGTTATAATTGAGAATTTTATTTCATGCCATCATCCAAATACATATCTGAACTTACACAAGCTTTACATCATATATGACAAACGATTTGGACCAAAGAGGCCAAAATAGAAAATTGACTTGGTTGTTCTAGAAGTTACAAATTATATTTACAAGCCTGAATGATTAATTGATTCATGAATTCAAAATCTTCCAAGACTTCGTTGATAAAACTATTGATCAATGGTAAAATAGGTGTGTACATCTTACTTTTCATCAACAAAGAAATGGTGTTTTCAGGCGGAAAGGTTAGCTTCTCCAAGTCCACGACTGCCTCCTCCCCCACCCTACCCTGAGATATCCCTGCTACCAGTCACCACGAGCCAGGAGAATTCGCAACAGAATTCCTTGCTGCATGGCATCCTCACCAAGGTATGTGGGCAGTTAAAGAAAAATATTTTTTTCTTTTACATAAATCATGACCTAAACTTACAAAGCTTCAATTGAATCTTAAGTCTATATAATTTAAGTATTAAAATATTGGCTCCAAAGTGTTTCATCTGTCTGAATATTAACTATTTGTAACATTAGGTCATGGTTTAAATCTACCTTCATATAATAAGTAAAAATGAGGTTTACTAATAGTAATTACACAGCTTGTCATATTTCATTTAGCTTTGCAATTTGATATGGTCATTTAAATTAGCACTAAAAACAGCATGTATTAAAAATTTGCATATTCTAGAAGAATATAGATGTAAAATCATTTTTAGTGCGTTTTTCAGGATACCCTATAGCATTTGACGAAGTCAAGGACCCATTCACTAATAATAGCGTGCCATCAAAAATTATGAACTAGTTACAACAGATTATCATTATTTACAAAATGTCATGATTTAATCGCTAGGAAGTCATTCAGTTGTGCTGGTAACATTGGGTGGTGCCCGTCTCGCATCCACAGTTTGAATTAGCTTGAATGAGTGTTGCCAACCTTCCAGCAGGCGTCTCCTGCGTCTCAGAGTTACTCGCCGACGTTGGCTAAACTGCTTACGTCGCCCGAAGGGAAACAGAGTGCGCCGTTGACATCTTTCGGTCAGGCCAAGGTACCTTATAAAGAGATAAAGATGGCGGTTCCCTGGTGATAGATCGCGACTGGATTGACGTTGGATTTTCCGAAAAATTTGTATCGTATTATCCTCATAGATGACACTTCAAAAATTTTGAAACTACCCTCCATACAACTTCGTCAGTTTCGAGTCGCGATCTCGTGAATCGTCAACTTAACACTTAATCGGTGTATCAATTGGCCTCGATCAGACGAAATTCCAAATTCTAGTTCCTAAGATTAGGTTTAAGCGGTGAAATGGCAATACTCATTGTTGAACAGCATCGGAAGCCACTTTCATTTCATTTTGCAAAGGTGATGCACATTACACAATCGTGGGGAAATTGAATTGTTGAGAGCCTTGCATTGCATGCACAGGACCAAGTCTGCTAGTTTATACAAAGCAACTGATATATTTTTAAACTGAATCTTTCTAATTTAAGTCCAAAATTTAGTGATGAATGAACTCGTCTAAGGTCTTCAGAATTGGACGGTTATGATGGAAATTCTTATTAAGTCACAAATAACGCTCATTAATTGGCAACAAAACAATTTAATTTTGATCTACAATTATCTGTTCTCATAATAGTGTAAACTAAAGTATTACCTTTGGTGTTAGGACAGAACGCTTTTTTAAGGCGTGTCTAAATTTTTTTAGGCTTTAGAGTGAGTTATAAAGATGGTCGATTTGTAAGACTTTGATAAGCAATTGATTTTGATGCTAACAGAATACCGAATATTAAAACCTGTACGGATGAACTTGAAGTTCGCAAATTAGCAGACCTGGGCCCCGCGATTTATAAAAATACAGTAAAACAGTAGGTTTTGTATGAAAGTAGCGTTTCATTTGTATTTGTAGAATTGTGGGGAGATCACAATTACTCCAGTGCAGCCGACTCCGCCGCCAGCGGAACCGCAGACCCAGGAGAAATCGGAAGTTGTGCAGCTGGTATGTAGAGTATACAAGACTTGTTTAATCTAAATACCATGCCATGATGATAGAAATCGCAAGTCTTCTAGAACGTTCTGAATTTGTATAAGAATTACTCTAGCAGGTAAGATAAATAAGAAATTATGTCTGCTCTATAGCGTCTCGTATTCAGATCGTAGCTTTGTGTTTGAAATTTAAATTGTTTTTTTAATTGCTACTCGTAGCCCCTGTATATGTGCAAGAAAATAAGGGCAAACCCTTTAGGTTTATTTTAAGTTCTAAAAACGATACAACAATAAGAGAAAACACTTAAAATAATAAATAAACACAATGACTGTAAAATTGTTTAATTATACAGTCTATCAGTATAATTATGCTTCTATACTCTGTGCTATCAAAATTATTAATTTGTTAGCACAGAGTATAGAAGTTTTGCTTATTTAAGCATATCTATTCTGTCACAGGATGACGAAGAGAGTCCGGCATCAGAAGGTGAAGCGGTCGGGAGCGGTGGCTCCGGCGGTTCCGGGGACTCCCCGAGTGGTTCGGGACGCTTAGTTATAGACGAAGCGGCCGAGGACACGCCCCTCTGCCAGGGGTGCCGTACACGCGACGCGCAGTTTGTGTGCGCGGGCTGCGCTAACCAGTGGTACTGTAGTCGCGAATGTCAGGTGAGGTTTAAAGCCTAAAGGGGGTTCAGTCTCCATAATATCCCAGGCAATCAATAAACACTAGACATATTGATTATTCCAATGACACAGAGAAGAAGTTATTGTCCACTACGTGGATGTCAGGATTAATGTCATAATATTTAATAATAATATAATTTGTAGATGTATTAACAAATCCTAACAAGTTATTGGAAAATCTTTTTAAAAGTTAGATTCATTGGTTTAGTTCTTAGTCATTTTTTTAAATAATTTTATTTGTCACCGGCCCAGTAATGTATAAATAACTCTAACTATTTCTTTAATATCTTTTTATGTTAATTTTCAGGTGGCAGCGTGGGACGAACATTCGGAAATGTGCTCCGGCTGAAATAATAGTTTTAAGTTAGGATAAATAAGATTGCATATATGGACGGTAGATTTTGCCTTATCTATCTAAATTACACGTTAGATTGGCGTTTTTTGGACTAGGCCGAAGTATTTTCTTAATCCTTTGTAAGCATATACCTGTCTCATTCGCACTTATTACAATTACCGTAAGTTTGTAAGAGATGGCTATAGCTTAAGGTCCCTTCATACAGCACATTGAAACTTCAAGATCACCTTACGGTAAGATTGTGTTCCGTTTATTCTGCAATTAAATACTTGTTCATACTCCATTATGGGAATACAAAAATAACCGTATTTACTTCTGGTTACAAAGGATATGGGCCCAGAAAATTTAACTAAGGTCCACAGAAGCAATATTTTTTATTGTATAAATTTGCAGAATACGGTCCATATTTCGAAGACTACATTAAATAAATGTTGTACGCTTTGACTGTTTGAAGAAGCCCTTATACCAAATATGCCAAATCTGTTGCAAATAAGACAGATTTTCACTAGTTTCTTGTCTAAAACAATTATTCAATTTCTTTTTGAATATTATTATATGAATTGCTTAAGATGATTTTGACTAACTTTACAATTGGGTGAATACTAATTTATATTTTTATTTAAATATAATTGAATTAAATATATCGAAAAGGTTGTATTATAACTCGCTAAGTCCAAAGAACGTTATAATTTGTAATAGGTGAATCTCTGTATGTTCCTTGAGTGTTGAAAGTTTGATTAATTAGACTATTTGATAATGAAAATCAATTTTTTCCAATCTATGGATGAAGGTACGAAGTTTATTGACTTATTTCAAATTCTGTGTATTTTTATGCAGTTTACGACAATAATTATGCCATTTTGGTCCTCAGTTGAATATCAGTATTGCGACCTGACATGGAACGAATCAAGGTCTAAAGATAGTCGATTCGATTCTTGTCGCAGTGTATTTGGTTTTGACAGAAAGGTTTGGTTACACCTCCCTTCGCGCATTCGTATTCGACCTACCTCATGAAAAGGTATTGTATTTTTCGGTATTATAATAACAATTTGTAAATCAACCTGATTGCTTCGAAGATTTCTTATTGAGTCTTGTTCCATGAAATCTGAATAATTTCTCCACATATGTATATATCTAAAATATATATGCAAAACGCTTTTTCGTCATAATAATTTAAAATCTATAAATTTAGGTCATTCCTTATATATAGGGGTTATTATTTATGTTACCTAGTGTTAAATTTATTTTTGAGCAATCAGTTTCTCAAAGATAAATTCAACATTGAACCACTCGAAAAGTTCTTTAAATTGTGTAGTGTAAGCGGCTTGTTATTGTAATAATTGTAAAACTATTCGTGTAATTGTAAAGTATACTTTAAGTGACGTAAGAAAGTATTTAAAAACAGTTTGTCTAGTGCATTGTTTTATTCGTTTCTTGGTGGTAGATTTTTTTTTGTTTGTCGTAAGAAAAAAATGCATTTTTTATAGTAGGTTGTGACATACAGACGTACAGACTAAAGCGAACGAAAGATTTTATACTACTTATAAATATAACATACTCTCGAATTGTTTTGGTGTAACAGGCTGTAAGAATTTTTTCTCAACGAAACGTTTATGTCTTGAAATGTAATTGTGGACAATGACGATTTTTTTTTAGAGTGACGCCCGCCTAACGGTCTAAAAGATGTCGAAAGCCTTTGATGTTGCCATTAGGAGAAGAATAAAACAATGTATCTGACATAAGATTAATTTTCAAGAGAACTTCACCAAATAGTTTGTGCCTTTTATCAACGTAAGCAATATTTTTATTTAAGTCTGGATTCTTTGATCGCATTGTGATGTAATTAATTGCGACTATTAAAAAAAATATATTTCCGGCCTAATGTGTGCACAAATGTCACTTGCATCACAGTGTTGGTGAAATTTTGTTTCGCTGTTATGTATAAATAAAACTACCTACATTTGGCCGCAAAATTAATTGACTAGGACAAAAAGTGTGGTCTTATTTTAAACATGGTCAAAGCTTTCGTGCGACCTTAATAAGAAATAATGTTAAATAACTTCTGAGCTGTTAAGAATTGAAAAGATGATCTCCAGTCTTTTTGATTCTGACACTGGAGTGAAACAATGTGGCAAGTGTCTTATTACAATACTATATCAATTTTAAATTATTTTCCTATCGCAGAATCATTTCTTATACAGTTTTTTTTATTGTAAACACGGATTACAAAGATGACATTTTCAGATTGTTCTGGAATTTCAATGACTTCACTGATTATTGTAACTGGTGCCTCAAATGGACAGTTCAAATTTGACTAGATTAAGTGATTCGTGACTATGTTTGTTTGTCTGTATGCCATTCCGCTCCAGTTCTCTTTCGGATCGTGCCAAACAACTGAATACTGCAGCTGACTAGGGAGGTTATATTTTTATATCGCTATAGATGCTCGCTCTCGTGTAAGACGCTTTTTAATGTAAGTTATGGTAAATGTTACTCGTTTTGAGAGGTAAGACTTGGGACTACTTTCAGTAATACAAAAATAACTAAATCCATTTTCTTTATCCCTCCGCCAATTACGTGCCAATCTTTACTTTCTTAGCTTATAGCAAATCTGCGGCTTTATAAATTGTATAAGGCTTTAGCGGCCATTTTGTAAAGCTATTTCGGTATCTTTTGTCTTCGGTTAATCAACATGTGATGTTGACGATACGCCGCGAACAATACTCAATTACATTTAAATACAACGGTTTAAGACGTGAAAGTTGTTAGTTGGCTAATTCCTCGCATAAACTTCACGACAACCGAACATTCGAAACGTCACGTTGCTGTCGTCGACCTTTTCGTATTGCTTTTAAGTCGTAATTTAACGTTAGAGTTTCAAAAGTTTACCTCTTAGAACACTTAACAGATATGTATTATGAAAATCTATATTATACAGTTAAACCGGCAATCAACTGAAATCAAGGACTTAATTAAATAATTTTCGATTATTTTTATACAGAATCACAATGAAATATATTGTCTCGTATACATTGTTAGATACTAAAGTATTTATGTAGTAGGTTTAAATCGATTTTTTTTCGCTTCTGATCAAAAAGTGTAACTTGACTGAACAATTTGTTTTGTAACGAAAATGTTGTCATCTAAGTTCGCGAGATATGAGGTGCCAGTAAAAATTTAAAGGGGGGCAATTCTCAACTAAACGACATTAGTCTTCAACGATATATATATCGGTAATTATGTCACGTTTTCCAAAGTTAAGGATTGGCCTAAGGTGTTTAAAAAGTATTATAATATAATCATTGGCAGAAAGCATAACATGACCAAAGCCAGTAACGCATAGTTTGTGTTGCTTTAATTAAGTATAATTGCTTTTATGCGTTTAGATGATACACTTTAACGGTTTAAAACGCGATATATTTTAGTTAAACTTTCACGTTGGCCCGACGTTTTGTTTTCGTGTTTGTATATGTAAAATAAACTTATCATATTTGAACGACAGGTACCTCAAATAAAGGTTGCTGCCACGTTCAGTTAATATGCAAAATTAGTGAACTCCAACGCAAAAAAAAACCTCCGGTCTGAAAGCTAGTGACATAGGTAGACAAATCTCAATCGCTTTATTTGAATTTCCCCCCCTATGGCCCTCATCCGTCAAATGACTCGTGCCACGTGTTCGTAGTCCGCAGTGAGCATTTCGCCTTATTTCTTATAACGCTAGTCAAGTGTTTCGTTACCTACATAACTGTTTATGTATTTTGTAACTTATATGTTATATAAGAAATAAATATGTACTGTCTTTCGATGCTTTTTTAAATAAATAACTAACTTAATTTCTATTAAAAATGCGAAACTATATCCCTATATTTTAAATTACTAAGTCGCGAAGTTTGGTAAGAAAGAATATATATATTTTTAATTTTGGTTAAAGGTATTCCTTGACTTGGTTTTACTCCGTAAGAGCGAAAGAGAAAGAAGGATTTCTTATAGGATGTGGGCGTGACCTGGCTTTCTCGAATTTAATTCTACTGTCAAAAGCCAATATAATTTACTTATAAATACTTTTAACGGTTTAAAACGCGAAACATAATGAAAACTTATGCTTACATTTCCATGCAAGGTATCCGAAACGGCGGACCGTAAGGCGAACTACAGATAAAACTTATTATCTGATGTTGCTTATCACTGAAAATTACGAAATTTTGGAAAAATAAAAACTTAATATAAAGAAAAATAACATTTATTTGAGTTTAAACATTGTCAACTTAATTTAACATTTACAAAAACGATTAAAGCAATAATCTCTTAAAATATAAACATTATAATTATGTAACATTCTTATTAAATCATTAATGGTGTATATTGTACAATGAAAATATGTAGTGTCAATTTATAATTTATCTGATTCAGGTTATACTTTAGTTAACATTTTTAAAGTTGTAAAATGTGATTGCAACGGTTTTATAGGTAGGAGCGCTTGGTATACAGGAATTTCTGTGAAAATGTGCACGAAAGACCGACATTATTTCAAAAATATAATTTGAATTAATTAAAAATAATAATTAACGACACGGTAACCCAATTGGAACGCTGTGGGCGCCGGTTCAATTCCCGCCTATGTTTAAATAGATTTTATATATTGTAAAAAAAAAAAACGCATAGAAGAAATTCCCCGTACAATACGGGTAAAAATAAGACAAGTTGTTTCGTACTTTTTGACTAGGTGCGCTGGTAGACAATGATACGCAGACTAGATTACGTTCAAAAATATCGTTTAGAAATCATGAAAAAACTGTATGTTCAGTCGAAAACTTAAAATTGGCTTTAATAACTAGTACGAGTAATAGACTAAACTGACTTAACTGACACATACTCATCTAAAAGTGCGTTATATTTAAGATACATGTTTTTAAAATAAAACAGGTTATAAATGACTAATAATGATAACTAGAGCGAGTGGCGTATACGGGAGATCTCAGCAGGTCTAAAGTTTGAAAACATTAATATTTTTCACATGTTATTGCACATGAAGGCACTATATAATTTAAAAATGGAAAATAAAGTGAAAAAATTTTCGACTCGGGCAAGACTTGAACCGACATCGTCAGCGTTCCACGCTGTTGCTCTACCAATTGAGCTACCGAGTCAAGTAACATCTGCTGAAAGCTGATGATGCCGGAAAGCGGCAAAAGAGTGCCGGTAATAGAGTCGAAAATTTTTTCAATTTATTTTCGATTTTTAAAGGTCTAGTTTATAATTTTTTCGAAAGATATTGGACTTCTTCGAAAACTTCTGGTGGCAAATTAAAGCCTATGAATTTCCGAAATTCCATGCCCAAAATAGGCCGACAGAGCATCTTACATAGCTAGCATATTAACTTGCTTTCAGGTAAACCCATGCTTCATAAGAGTCATAAAACCCGCCTCGCCCCTTGCCCCGGAAAAAGCGCCCCCTTGACTTCAATCCCTTTGACCTTATATACGCCACAGCTCTATTAATGATATTTCTACATTGGGTATATATTTTTCATAATATGTCAAATAACTATTATAATGATTTATATAGCGGTGGGAGTTTCTAGTCTTTACGAAGTAATATCTATAATGGGGTAAACATTTAAGAAATAGCACCATAACATCTAAACATTTAAAATATATCATTTGAGCATGTTGCTTTAAACAAACGTTTATATTAGAAAAAACGAAGCCACGTTTCCTTAAAACTTTAATTTGTTATAAAATTAAAATTTCATAGGAATAAAAGGGATTCATTTTCTCTAAATAAATACAGACTATAAATGACATTCAAAATAACCGACATTTTTCCACATCCATATTTTACCCAGCTAAACATTAAATGGAATTCGTAGCACTAGTAAGATTATGTCTACCATAATTCTATATAAAATAAAACAGTATTCCAGGTATAGTTTATGGATTTGGGAATTACCAAAACCATAATCTGTGTGTGTGTCTGTTATCTGTCTGAATCCTGTTCGGAGCAGCGGCGTTTTGTAGTATTTTATTTCTAAATTATTATTTAGTGTCCACACAGACATAAACGATATGCCTTGACGGTTAATAGGAATAGTTTTAATAGCGACGTCTAATCAACTATAATAGACTACTTGAAAATAAAATCAATTACTGAAATACGAATCTCTGCTACGAATCCCATCTCGCCCTATATTCCAAGAGGCTTTTAAAGTCCTGGAAGCATTTTATGTTATTATTATTATTATTTTGTATGTACTCGTAAACTACACACAACATTTTTGATTATAAACATATAAAAAAATCAGAAGCCTCTTAGAACATAGCACGTTACCTTCATATTCGATCAATATACCGACTACTACATTAAATAGATCATTTTATCAAATTTAATATACATATATATATCAACACGCTACGTCTAATATGTAATCTAGCTTTTAAACATCTATTAAATTTCATTTCATCGTTGTAATTAGTATAAACATGGTCGTTTTGGACAACGGGAAATATTACATGACATAAAAATACATAATAGTGTACAGGAATACCCGGTAGCGTCAATCTTAAACATTTCAGTAAAAACAACATTTTAAACACAAAAAACTTTCAACTTGAAAAAATAAACCTTATCAACAGTGCAAACGGTCGATAATCTCATGCTCTACTTGACGATGAAAACAACATCGCTGTCTCTCTCCATCTGCTCCTCTAGAAGCGAGACGGGTATACCGGTCTGGCAGCACAGTTCGTCCATACACACGAGTCCGTTGTACGTGCGCGCCACGCATGCGCTGTGCGAACTGCGCACAGATGATGTGTCGTTGTGCACGGTTACTGGGTACTGAAAAAATAATAATTACCAAATACTGTAGTTTATGTGAGTAGTACACATCCAAATAAAACACTCTAACCGTTTAAAACGCGATATACATTAAATATTAATCTTATTTGGAAATTATTTTAACTGCAACCTGAAGTTTCAGATGCTTTGAAGCAGCCGTGGTCACAGGGAGAGTGCCGTAAAAGTCATTTATTAAAATATTTATTACCATGCAAGGTTCCTAAGCGAATATCATTTTAAAACGGATGGATATAATATAAACAAATTTCTTGCTCTGTAAAACGAATTATGATGTTTTTTCTAGGATTCAAACACAGGACTTCTTACCGCGATAAAAAAGGCAAACCATTATCTACCGCCATTGACAATGATGATTATTATTTGCTTGACTGAGCTCATCTAAGTAACTAATGTGGGTATATATGGAAAAAAATGTAAGAACAAGCGAGAGGATATGTGTGAAAGGGACGGAGAGAGGGGGATATTGTATTAAGCGAAACGAAACTTGTGCTGTGGTCCTATGCACTATGGGCATCGATGACCAAAGAATATCTCATATTGACCCCCACCTTATAAACTCGCCTTATCAATCCTTCCAGCACTCCAAACAGCACCAGCTTCCTCTCGTTGATGGCCAGGTCTTGCGGCTTCATCCGCCTGCAGAGGTCTCGTATCGTGCTGCCGTAAGTCATTCCCGCGTACATGCGAAATAGATCGCTCACTTTTGGTAGCTGTCTCGCTGCGCATAAACAAAATACACATCACTATAGTATTTGTAGTACGCGTAAAAATACTTCTCCTACACATTTAAATAAAACACTTTTAACCGTTTAAAAAAATGAAAATATTCGTTAACTTATTTATAGAGATATAGATGGCGCAAGATGTATTCAGTATACAAACTGTTATGCTTGCGCCATCTGTTACATCGAAGTTACTAAATATCAACTTTGACATCTGAGACAACTTCCACCTTTAGACTCCCACAGACCACGGCGGGCCGTAGTTAAAAATAATGTTCAAATAAGTTTAACTCATATATATCGTAGTTTAAACCGTTAAAGTGTTTTATTTAAGTTATTTACAATCATTTTAACTTCGAATGCTATACAGCAGCTATGTTCACAGGGGGACTGACGCTGCAAAGCACCATAGTCAAGTTGTAAATAAGTTAACTAATATATTTCGCGATTTAAACCGTTAATATCCGTTTAATTTCTCTTGTAAACTAAAGACATTACTTAGTTCCCCACATACATATGTTTGTATCCGTTAATGATTTTATTTAGTCTTGTATAGTATATCAATTTGACCAATTAATCTTATAAACCCACTTACGTGATCTCGCGCAGAATTCAACACACTGCCTCTGCAATCCTGGGCAGCGCGTCAGCTGTCTTAGCTTAGGAGTTGCACTGTACACCTGAAAAGAAGAGCGCACATTTCATTTAATCAAAAGTGTAAGAAATCTAAAATTGCCGAAAGTTTGGTACACAACTTATTTTTGAAATGTTGCCGCTATGACGACCAAAACTCAAAACAAATAAAACAAAGATTTAAGGAGATTTATATGGGACAAAAACAAACATATTTTATTTAGACACTAGCTGTGCCAGCGACTTCGTCCGCGAGAATAGTTATTTTGGCCATCCAAATTAATTTTTGCAAACCCTGTCATCTTTATAAACTTAAGCTGTTAGCCACGACGTCGATCGCGTCCCTTCGCGTCGTTCTTGCAAGTTAATCTTAAAAGATAGACATAGTCCAGGACTTCGATTCTGGAATTTCGATATTCCTATCACCCAATTAATATCCATAATTAATAGTTTCAGAAAAATGTAAATTGGTCCCGAAATGGGGGTCCGATCCCCCCCATTATTGATATATTAACCATATATTGCTACCATTACACCTTCAACTCCCGTCAAAATATACTTACAGCACAGTATTGGAAGATTGGTACAAGAGTGACCACTCCGTAGTACACCAGGTTCTGAACACAGGCGCGGACCAAACTTATCTCCACGTCTGTCAGCGCGGCGATTTTGGACACGTGGTTGAAGCCATCTATGTAGGGCAGGATCTGAGACAAATATAGGTACTCGGTGTTAAGCTTGATATATATTGTTTGTAGTAAAATGTAAACACTATTAAGGTATTATTTTTGTTTTTTTTTTTAAATCGCAGTCGCTGCGATGCTGTGGGTAAAGTTTCAAAAAAAATACAAACATATTAAAAAATAATATTTGATAGTCTTCTGTCTTTATACAAAATGTTTGACACTTTCTCTTACGAAAAAGAAGAAGACATTAAGTACTATACAAATTTAGTTTCATTCAAATTTCAGTACACTCAGCTTCGGTATTTCTGATTAGAGTAAATAGAAAATGTTAAACGATTCACCAAACATCACCCAAAAACTTAATATAACTAGTTCGGTAGTTTTCAACAGACTAACTTTAATTAATTGACATTGACAGATGATAACTCTGTACTTATAAACCAACAGATGGCGTTGATACGGTAATATAATATTTTGTTACAGTTACAATTTATTTATAACATAACTATCATAGTTTGCGAGTGTAAAAAATCGTTAAACTGTTTAAACCCCAAAAAAAAAATTTGTTGATAACTTGACATCGTGGAGTCAACAAAATGACTCCGTTTAAATGAATTAATAGTTTAACTAATATATATTTTTATAATGCTTTGGACTTTCGGATTTTTTTACATACAAACAAACAAAAAAGGTCGACAACACATCCTGCACTTAAGCAACTACCATCAAGTGAACCCTAACGCTTGTCTCTCTCCTCTGTAATAAAAAAAAACAGAGGCTTTTTAGAATAATCTGAGTATTTACTAGCCTTTGATAGTTCCTACTGTCTTGCGATTGTCTTGTAAATTAAAATTTTGTGTCTACCAAATCGCACCAGACCTGCTATTCGAACTTCGTTAAGTTCGGAAGAGACGTTTACAAGTTGACGGCTTATAAGATAACTACGCTTGTCAGATCAGTAGAAAACAATTAGATAAAGTAATAAGTGCAGGGAACATTTTAATTATGCAAATGAAGTCTAGGCTCCGGCCCGTGTTTGTAAAAAGAAAATTAATGACTGGCTTTGTGATAAGCGATGCCAGTAATTTATTAATTAATTATTCGATGTACAGTTAACGTTTCTTGTCGAGTACATAATTGCGCTTAGAGTAAAACATTTACCACTCCAATCAATATTTATGAGAATTATCTACGCGTTTCGTGTTTAATTAAACAAAAGAAAATAAAAGAATCTTTATACAGCGCTAAGATAAAGTTAAAAGGAAAATAGCAATAAAATTTTCATAATGATTACTTTATTCATAAAAACGAATGTGTGATTTTTTTGTATTCGATGAATAAATTAAAATTGACACGTTCCTATCGAAAAAAACTTAAATATTTTATCCGTCATTTACATCGTGATCAAACTAGAAAAACATTGTATTTTCGTTGCTCTTATAGTTAAATAGATACACTTACATTTATACTAATAAATAAAGCTGAAGAGTTTGTTTGTTTGAACGGGCTAATCCCAGGAACTATGGGTTCGAATTAAAAATTTTAGACCATTTATCGAGGGCTTAAGCGCACTGTGATTTATACAACCGAAGATACAGCGGGGAATGTGAAAAAATAGGCAAAGTTATTCATAATTATGGGTTACCGAGGCGTACGCTGCAAAAACGGTTCAAGGTTCCCAAAAAAATATGTAGGAAAGAATGATTCCTCTTTAAATGACCTAAAAAAAAGTCCGCGACACTACATGTCTATCTTTTAAGATTAACTTGTAAGAACAACACGAAGGGACGCGACCGACGTTGTGGGTTGAACTGCTAAGTTTATTAAGATAAAGGGGTTTGCTAAAACGAATTTGTATGACCAAAATATATATTCGTTGCGGACGAAGTCGCTGGCATAGCTAGTGCTTAAATGTATATTTCAAAATTATCTAAAAGGAATTAATAAAATTCGTGTTTGTACTTTATGTAATGGGTGGTTTGAATATCGAAATTCCGTCCACTTATAAAAAGATCGTCAAATATAAATCTACTTTCTTTTTATTTCTGTACGTCAGAAGGTAAAATAGATTGACAGAGTATCTTGTTTATATTTTTTTTAATGTATGAAGCGAGCCATATGCTTGCCTGTCGTCCTCTGTCATACAGAAATTAATATCTAAAAGAATTATTAGGCCTGTCTATAGTTTACACGAGTAGTACACATTTAAAAAAAACACTTTAACGGTTTAAAACGCGATATATTAGTTAAATTTATTCGAAAATTATTTTTAACGTCTCCCCGTGACCACGGCTGCTGCAAAGCATCCGAAACGTCGGCCCGAAGTTAAAAATAATTTTCAAATAAGTTTAACTAATATATCGCGTTTTAAACCGTTAAAGTGTTTTATTTAAAATTATTAGGCCATTATAATTTTAACGAGCAAGTTCATTCTACAGCTACAATAAGCGCTTAGCAACAGTCGAGCGACGCCCGCGCAGTTAAGAAAGTTCAATGTCGACCGTACATGGCGTGTCGTGGGAGTGTCTTCATATTGACACAGGTTCACATCGCTTAACACCTTTTGTATGTTAACAAGCTTAACCATTTGGTGTCTCCAAGAAAGTTTTGTGTTTTATGCTTAGTATTTTAATTTTTAGGTTATTTTTTTGTTGCTCAGTTGATCCGATTAAAGATCCCCACCACCTGGGAGGCTCTGGTAATAAAGGTCAACATCCAGGAGGACAAAAACTCATTAATGTTCTCTGGTTTCCTGTTTTCTAAAAAATGTACTAGTTCTCCGCTCGAAACACAAAGTTTGATAAGTTAGGTAAACGTTAAGAGTGAAAAATGAAATACCTACTCATAAAAAATATTGAACTTATATACCGACGCCCCATACAATACGCCGAGCAGTTGAACATGATTTAAAAATAAGAGAAAAGTTTAAATGTAATTCAAGTATGGAAATAAATTAAAAGCTTCTGGTTATATAAAGTCAACATTTGCATGGAAACACTTGCGATTATTTACGCGACACTTCCAAAACACTCCTAGGGTTGCCAATACCATTAAAGAGTTACTGCGACTCGCCCAAAACTGGGCAAATGTGTACACAGCCCTTTTGTTTGATATTATCATTGCTTACGCAAATATTGGGAAGGTGTGGTAATTTCCTAGCCAAAGGCAAAGAAAATTCTTGTTATATTATACCCGATCAAATCAGAAATGTAAAAAAGAGGAGCAGAGTTCAAAACAAAAATTGTGCTTCGCCGTAATAAATAGTGCCAAGCTCTATCAAAATCCAAGTATGTACTAAGTACTTACAGGAACAAAATAATATTATGAAGAAGTAATAAATTCTGTCTTTGCTTTATTGGATATGTACAATAATTGCAGTAAATAAAAAAAATGTGAAATCTTGACGTTGAAAGGTTCAAATCAGTCATTTTGTAAAGTTATTTGATTCTAACTGGCCAAGCCAGTTCTAACTTAACTCGGCTGAAAATCGGTTCTGAAATTTTAAGAATAGCTTTACACGTCGATCTCACAAACGAGCTTGTCATTATCCTAATGCACAGTAATTAATTAATTAAACATTATTCTATGGCACTGAGAAATACCTATTTTATGTTACTTAATGTTTAATCTCTATATCTTTTAAAATGTTCCAACCAAAACCAATGTACCACGAGACCAAACTATTCAACTATCGCTTAATATTATTCAATGAAAACAAAGATTACACAGTAAATAATCTTAAGATCTATTCATAAATACATTTTCAAAAACAATAAGTACTTATATATTTATTTAGTGATATGCATTAGCTCCACGTGTAGATGTAACAAAGTTGCGCGTGCGAGCGGTTACTCATTGCTTACAATTATGTAGAGCGACCATGCTAATTATATTTAAAAAAGTTTTTCAAAACAGAATAAGAGAAAAATATGTAAATGTGTTAATATTTTTCACATGTGATGGACACGGTACTGTTAACAGCGTAGCTCAATTGGTAGATTCTTAATGTATATAAATATTGTTAAAAACACAACCATAGGACACTATAACTTCATCTTGGTACAATAAACGAAAATAATAATGTTTAAAATAAGTAACTGTATTTTTTTTAATACTGTATATTCATATTAAACTGCCATGCAGGCATCTGTAAGTGATACCGACGACGATTAATATCGCGAGTTTTGAAATCTGTAAGAGTAAATTAAGTTGCTTCGTACAAATAAAAAAAATTGCACTTACCATCGAAATTTGGTCACCCTACTGTTTATTTATAAACAAACCGCGCCTCGTGTGTTTTTATAGATATACAACGGTTAATTGTACAACCATTACGCTACTGGAACTTATGACATTTGTTTATTGTTACATAATATGATATAGCAATCTTCGTAAAAAAATATTTTAAGAAACGCTGAATTATCAATACATATTTAAATTCTATGAATAATAATAGATATGGAGAAACCCTCTCTAACAAGGAAGAAGATGTACACATTAAGTGGGTAAGGATTGTAATAAAAACTTGCCAATTAAAAGGAGTGGCGGCGAGTTTCTTGCCAGTTCTCAATAGACAAGGCTTCGGATGGTTTAAGCTGGCTGGTAATGTATGTATGTATCAACGTGGCGTGCATTAATTGTCTCTTATGAAGACAATTCCTTCAAACTAAACACTGTTCTTTTTTAAAGTGGCAAGTATTGTACGGTTAGCGTTATGTTTAATTGTGTTTCGAAAAAAATATGAACTGTATTTTTTAAACAATATTATTTTGTCCTTACGTACATTCTTATTCTTTAATATTGTTTATTTTTTTCAAAACAGTGTATAATCAAATGTTCACATACTAAAGACTTAGGTATTTTTGTAAGGATAAAGGAGGAAAGTGTGCTTGATGGTTCCAGGTCAAAAGCTTCAAGATATTTCTTGATTAACACGTGTAAGTGGCCGCTGTACTATAAATCTGTTGTATCTTCGCGTGTAGTAAACAAGCCGAGATAGTATTTTAAAATAGACTGTTTGT